GTGACCAATTTTCCAAAGCTGGTGTGCCAAGATGAACCCACTTGAAAACTGTGGGCTCTCGTACTTGGCTGCAAGACCCGTCCAGCTGAGGTGGGCTGGCCCAGCATCTGCAGCCTTCATTGTGCTTAATGCTGGAACCATCTGTTTTCTGTCAAAGCTAGTGCCAACAAATTACTAATCTATTAGAGAAACATGGAAATAAGATTGCACTTCTCATTCCTGGCTTTTCCTCTCATATTTTGCTTGGCTTACATATTTGGTTTTTGTTTATTTTGGGGAGAAAGATATGTTATCGAGTAGGCGAAGTGGGGGGGGGTGTGAATCATTTTTCACTCCTTCCACACATTTTGAAAAGATGATGGAGAAAAAAATCATATTAATGCTTATTGATAATAATAGTATTATAGTTGATGCTCATGGTGATAGCTATCATTTTTTAGGTAGTTCTATGCTTGGCACTGAACTAGTCACTTTCTACCTATTCCCCGTTATTATTGTTACTTTACCTGGCAAAACTGATGCTCTGAGAGGTTAAGTAACTTGTCCAAGGTCATGCCCCTAGGAAGTGTCAGACCAGTATCCAAACCCAGTTTCTAGAGCCTATGCTTTATCTGTTGCTGCCTCTTAAGCCATTTAAAGCCTTTAGAAACCATTTTTATCCAGGCATGTGAGTTTAATGAGGAAAGTCTTGAAAGTTTCAAGGAGAAGAAAAGGGGACTTTGTATTTCTTCTACCAAATAGAGGGCCTCTATAATTAGAACATATTCCCTTGACATGTGCTTTTGAGTGCCAGTTCGTGAAATCAGCCTAACTGATTGAGGAAAAATAAGACTGGGGGCCCAGCACTCAATGGGCCTTTCTAAGGACAAGTGCACGCCTGTGTGTATGGGTGTGCATGGTGGTTGTGCTCTGACGCATACTCCACCCGATTACAGAATGCTTCCTGCTGTGCAACGAAGACCAGCTGCCGAATTGAGCAAAGTGATTGAAACCCAGCTCTTGTCTTCTTAGTACATAAAATGAATGAAAAAGCTAGAAGTCAAGTAGAGGGTTACTGAACATCTCAGTTGTTTCTTTGTGTTCATTAAAATACAGCCCCTGACTGCCAGTTAAACCCAAGGTGCAGGAACCCAGAGTGACAGTATTTCTCTGTTCCAAGTATGCACGGCATTCTGCTTCAACTATAAGCAGAATTCCACAAAATCAGGGACCTTACTCTCATATAAAACTGCATTGTGGGCATAGTCTGCAACAACCAGGTAAATGCTTGTTTTGTAAAACAAGATTAAAGTGTCATTTCATTTCCTTCAAAAGCAAAGGGTACGTATGTTTTCACTGAATAAAGTTTCTTACCAAATGAGTCGCTTATCAGGTATTGAGGGGGGTGGAAACTAGCTGCAGAGCAATAGCAAGAATATGTGAATTGATATCATTTGTGTTCAAAGTGTAAATGAGTTTGTTTCTGTTTAATAAAAGCAAGAGCCAGAAAGGCACCGCTGGATCTCACTGACGTTATCAGATAATCTGGAAGTGAAGGGCTGTGAGGTCAGTGGGGCGGGGCGGGGGGAGTCTCCAACCTGCTGCAGAGAAGAGTTCCGAGGACTGTGCTCTGACAAAGGCGTGGGAAGAGGCAGGACACAGCATCCTGCCCATTGTTCTGCGTCCCTCCCAACCAGGATGAGCATAAGGGGCCCTTTCCGCGGAGACGGTGTGATGGGAAAACAGACGGGGACCTTCTGTGTGGTCCCGCGGGACGGGAAATTCAGAGCAACCTCAGAACTTTTTATAAAGAACTTTGATAAACAGTGAATGTTCACCTTTTACTTGAAAACAATATCAGTTTGATTACGTGTGCAAAGGCAGAGTATCTTCATGCAAAGGCAGTTTAAATTTGAGGTGCTGGCATAAAAGACTAACTCACAGTGCAATTCGGAGGCACCTGAGGTGATGTATGTTGAACCTCTCCTGTCCCTTCCTTCCCTTCCGTTCCCTTTTGTTTTCCTATCCATTGCACCTCCTCGGACGGCCAGTGCCTCGCTCGGTTGTTCCTCTCCAGCCTTTCTTTGGCTTCCAGGGATATTCAGGGGAAAGTAGCTGCTGGCTGTAACAAGTCACTTTCTGTGTTGCTGGAGCATTTTCTTAAGAAGCTTGTCCCAAGACCGGTCTGTGGCAGGGCTCAGCAGATTAGGGCCACTCTGGCCGGCCATCGTGTTTGTAACGCAGGGGCTCCCGTTTGTGTGTGTGTTGCTTCCAGCCATGTCAGGGCTGCAGTGGCAGTTTAGTTTTTGTTTGTTTGGTTGGTTTTTTGCAGTACGTGGGCCTCTCACCGCTGCGGCCTCTCCCGTTGTGGAGCACAGGCTCCGGACGCGCAGGCTCAGCGGCCATGGCTCACGGGCCCAGCTGCTCCGCGGCATGTGGGATCTTCCCGGACCGGGGCACGAACCCGTGTCCCCTGCATCGGTGGGTGGACTCTCAACCACTGCGCCACCAGGGAAGCCCGGCAGTTTAGTTTTGACAGACACCATCTAGCCCACAAAGCCTAGAGTATTTAGTCTCCATCCCTTTACAGAAAGTGTGCCCGGCCCGTGGTCTGTGTGAACAGTGACCTTCACACCGTCTCCAGTGAGTAATACACTTCATAGACAGCCACGTAAGAGAGCTCACGTGAGGCACCTAACAGAGCAAATACCAGTCAGTGCTGAATAGTCTGGGCTTCTTGCAGATTTGTAGGTGGTCTGCACTTGAGAAAACCTGCGTTCACGACTGTGATGATAATGTGATGTAAGTGTGGTTTTCCTTAAGTATTTGAGAGGCCAGTCAGGGGTGTGGCTAGTGGACAGCCCGGGTGCAGACTGTGGCTCTGAGGCATTTTAGCCACGTGACCTTGGGACAGGCCACTCAACATCCCACACCTCAGGCTCCTCCCTAAAGTGAGGGTGATAATGACCGGGACCTCTTAGGCTTGATGTAAGCATTAAAGGAGGCAATGCAAAGAACTCGAAACTGAGCTTAGCACACGGTAAATATCAATTGCTGGCTCTTATTGTTGTTACTAATCCAACCCAATTTCTGCTGGAAAATCTGGAGAAGCTCCTTCTCACCTTCAGAATAGGTCCCGAGCGTGGAAGCCTGGTATATGGGGGACGCTTCCCTCTGTCCCCTCCTCGCGGCCACACAAAGCTCAGCAGTGACTTGCTCCTGAGTTTGCCCTTTCGCTGCCTGTGCCGCCGTCCACGGCCTCTTCCATAGGCGCTCCCTGCCCTCTTCTGCCTTAATCACCAGCCAACAGTAACCCCCTAGCATTTTTGCACTCACGTTGCGTCATTTAATCGTAACAGCAACTCTTCAAGTAGACAGTATTGAAGAGGCTTATCTCTGTTTTACAGAGAAGAGAATGAAACAAAGAAAGATTAAAACGACTTAGCTAAGGTCACATGGTCAGTATATATAGGGAGTCTTCCCTCAGCCCCAGTTCTCCCAGATCCCAAAGCCTGCCCCACACGGACGCCTGGGTTGCGAACCAAGGCGGTTTTTCAAAACCTTTCACTCAATGCCTGACCATGGACAACGCCCCGCATTCCCACCTGACACAGACTTACTCTTCTTTCTCTTACGCTTTTCACAGCACGTCATCTTTTTGTTTTTGTATTTTTTCTCATCTTACCCCTGCTACTCCACCTTATACACACACACACACACACACACACACACACACACACATACACACTTAGGTCGTGAGCTTCTTGAGTACAGGAATTGCATTGTATTTAACTTTACATTCCCTGTGCCTAGAACAGTTATGTTATATAGATGAGGAGATTCTTCCAGAAAGTAGTAAAGGACAGGTGGGGAAACACTAATCCATATTCTACAGACACTTATCCTTTTGCATATATTTCATTTCAACAGTCATTTATTGGGAGGCAGCATATTTTATTGGTTAATTACATGGGTTCCATAATCATTTTGCTTGAGCTTGAATCCTAACCTACTAGCTGTTGACTTCCTTCATTTGTAAGTGGAGTCATGGTCGTATCTACATTTCATATAATTATTGGAGAAAAGAATGAAATCATTGATGCAAAGCACTTAGCCCAATGTCTCACACATAGTATGGTTCAGCAATTATTATTATTGAAGTGGCATTATATATGCCTTCAATTTACTTGAATGTAGTTTATGTGCACTCAATCAAAAGAAAAGGTGTGGAAGGAGAGAGAAAACAAAACTACTGCACTAGTCCAGGCCATTCTACTCCGTGAGCACGTGCCCCATGTGAGCAGAGATGGGAGGTGAGACTGTGGACGCTTACCTCAGGCTGGGACCCTGCCTGCTTCCCATAGTGCCACCATCTCGCTAGGCTGAGTGCCGTGCCAGTGCTTGAAACTTATTTCATAAGACGTGGCATCAAGTGCAAACCAGCCACTTTATCTGGTGCTCAAACAAAAAAAGTCTTCCAGACACCAGAGAAAAGCCGACTGTGCTGGATTAATGTCGCATCTCCACACGACACCTCCTGTGGGGTTTTGAAGGGTAATTTTGACCACATGTGCATGTTTTCTTACACCTTCTGAACCCTTTATCATAACTGTCCAGTGTGGTAGTGATGTAGAGGTGCAGTCTCAGATTGGTGTTCACCTGCAGACTGGGGGCCGAAATACTTATTTCAGTTAAATTTTGGTAACAGTACGAGGTGCTGGATGTGCCGAAGCACCACTCAGCACTAGCATCCCGTGTCCATTCACAGATGGTTTCAGTGATCAGCCTGGGTCTCCCTCCGTGTTACAGTGGTCCTGTGTGGCTCTTTGCCTTTGGAATGTGCAGAGAGAGCGTATTTTGACTGCCAACCTCATCAGCGCCAATAGGGGAAAGGGTTAATGAGGAAAATGACTAATGTTCTGTGTTGATGACACTGTTGGACACAAAGTGTTTCCAGTGAATGTTTTCACAAGTTCAAATATTAAGTAAAAGGCTTTAATTTGTGTTTGATTTTTGTTTAGGTAACTACTCCAGACCCCCAACATATAGTGGAGTGCCCAGTGCAAGCTACAGCGGCCCAGGGCCCGGCATGGGCATCAATGCCAACAGCCAGATGCATGGACAAGGGCCAAGCCAGCCGTGTGGTGCTATGCCCCTGGGACGAATGCCATCAGCTGGGATGCAGAACAGACCCTTTCCTGGACATATGAGCAGCATGACCCCTAGTTCTCCTGGCATGTCTCAGCAGGGAGGGCCAGGAATGGGGCCACCAATGCCAACCGTGAACCGTAAGGCACAGGAGGCAGCTGCCGCAGTGATGCAGGCCGCTGCGAACTCGGCACAAAGCAGGTATGCTGTCGGGCGGGCGGTCTGTGTGTGGATGTGTGCACACATGCGGAGCCCAGAGCTGCATCATCCCCGGCTCACACGGGGGTGGAGAGCAGCAGAGGGTCCCTTGGCTTGGCCATTCCTTTTGTGTTAAATATATTCTGTACCATAAAGGTCAGAGAAGTAAATAATAGGTCATGTTGAATGAGACATGGAAGAAGGAATCATTGGTGGGCAAGTCAGCTGTGGGAGGTTATTTGAAACAGCTGTGAATAGTCACTGCCCCAAGCAACCTAGAGCCAGTGGCACGGTGATTGTCTTTGTGGTTCCACTTAACACAGTGAGGTTTAGGCAGGAAAGTCTAGAGCCTAAAAACTGGCTAAAATCTAAAACATTCAAAAAGAACTTCTCCCCCCCCCCTTTTTTTTTTAACCTCACCATAAAAATCTTTATTAAAATAGAAACTTTGTATGTGTACATATGAGTATTGTGTGTGTTTGTCTAAATGTATATGTGTGAGATTTATTACTTCACGTTCTTCTGTTGTATTTTATTTTTCTGGGCATAGCTCTCTCTCTGTCCAAACCAAAAGGTGGTTAATAAAACAAGGATTATATTTCTGAAACTTTAAGTTGATAGAGCAAAGGCTCTAGCCTCAACTACTTACTTGTTTTTAATCCTGAATTTTAAAATTAATTCTTGAAGTAAATACTTGACCTGTATAAAGATAACAGAATTAAAAATTTAGGAGGCAAAGTGAATATGTTTTAAAAGACTCACATGTAAAAATGTCTGAATTATGTTTAACATATGTCAAGGGATGTTTTAAAACAAAGGACACTGACAGATATGTATGAACATACGGTATCTTCAGAAGAAAAGAGAGAAGATTCTGAGTTTGTCAAAGGGAAATAAGAGCTGTGTGTGTGTGTGTGTGTGTGTGTGTGTGTGTGTTTAAATGTATCCCTTTGTTGCTTTTCCTCTGAAGTTGCTATTCGGGAATGTTAGGGACCCTTCCAGTCTCACTGTTTGCTCCACATAATAAAATGAAAGTCAGTCATATTCTCTCTCCCTCTCCCGGGCCAAGCCAGCCGTGTGGTGCTATGCCCCTGGGACGAATGCCATCAGCTGGGATGCAGAACAGACCCTTTCCTGGACATATGAGCAGCATGACCCCTAGTTCTCCTGGCATGTCTCAGCAGGGAGGGCCAGGAATGGGGCCACCAATGCCAACCGTGAACCGTAAGGCACAGGAGGCAGCTGCCGCAGTGATGCAGGCCGCTGCGAACTCGGCACAAAGCAGGTATGCTGTCGGGCGGGCGGTCTGTGTGTGGATGTGTGCACACATGCGGAGCCCAGAGCTGCATCATCCCCGGCTCACACGGGGGTGGAGAGCAGCAGAGGGTCCCTTGGCTTGGCCATTCCTTTTGTGTTAAATATATTCTGTACCATAAAGGTCAGAGAAGTAAATAATAGGTCATGTTGAATGAGACATGGAAGAAGGAATCATTGGTGGGCAAGTCAGCTGTGGGAGGTTATTTGAAACAGCTGTGAATAGTCACTGCCCCAAGCAACCTAGAGCCAGTGGCACGGTGATTGTCTTTGTGGTTCCACTTAACACAGTGAGGTTTAGGCAGGAAAGTCTAGAGCCTAAAAACTGGCTAAAATCTAAAACATTCAAAAAGAACTTCTCCCCCCCCCCTTTTTTTTTTAACCTCACCATAAAAATCTTTATTAAAATAGAAACTTTGTATGTGTACATATGAGTATTGTGTGTGTTTGTCTAAATGTATATGTGTGAGATTTATTACTTCACGTTCTTCTGTTGTATTTTATTTTTCTGGGCATAGCTCTCTCTCTGTCCAAACCAAAAGGTGGTTAATAAAACAAGGATTATATTTCTGAAACTTTAAGTTGATAGAGCAAAGGCTCTAGCCTCAACTACTTACTTGTTTTTAATCCTGAATTTTAAAATTAATTCTTGAAGTAAATACTTGACCTGTATAAAGATAACAGAATTAAAAATTTAGGAGGCAAAGTGAATATGTTTTAAAAGACTCACATGTAAAAATGTCTGAATTATGTTTAACATATGTCAAGGGATGTTTTAAAACAAAGGACACTGACAGATATGTATGAACATACGGTATCTTCAGAAGAAAAGAGAGAAGATTCTGAGTTTGTCAAAGGGAAATAAGAGCTGTGTGTGTGTGTGTGTGTGTGTGTGTGTGTGTGTTTAAATGTATCCCTTTGTTGCTTTTCCTCTGAAGTTGCTATTCGGGAATGTTAGGGACCCTTCCAGTCTCACTGTTTGCTCCACATAATAAAATGAAAGTCAGTCATATTCTCTCTCCCTCTCCCGCCCCCCCACCCCCACCCTCTCCTCCGTGTTACAATTACTTAGGATCTTCTGAACCCCAGCGCTATACCTCTGAACTGAACCTATGCAGGCTGTAGAGAGAATGTTTTAATAAACCTGTCCGTGAGGACTGGTTTGGCTGGTCCAGTTGAAGTTCTAATTTAGGTTTAAATGAATTGTCCATTGTCACAACTCAAAAAGCACAAGTTATTTCCTTTTTAAGGAGAAAGTACTTGATTGCATTTGACATGAAGCCTTGGGTAGTGATCTGGGAAGAAGATAACTGTAGAGATTAAGGCATAATTGTTTGATTAAAAAGCCTTGCTGTGCTCCCTTTCTGAATCAGTTTATATATAATTTTATATAAGTTACTGTATAAGTATACATCCATGCATTTTCATTTTCTATTTCTAATCGGTAGACCACTCCAAAGCCTCACCTTCACATTCCACCCATCAGAGCTCTCCAGGAGTTCGAATGGAGACTGTTTATTTTTTGGCTTTTACCAAAGTCAAAGCTATGCTTCAGAACTGTAAAACTGAGATTGGATCTGAGAATCTTACTTTTCTCTCTCCTTTGCCCTGTCCCCTACCCTTTTTTTGAAGGATTGTTCTCCAGCTCCACTGCCAGGTAGCTGCATGGTACAGAGTATTTTATGCCACATTCTGTAACCTCCACACCTATGTGTGGAAATAACATAATGGACAGGGGGATTCCTACTTGTCTACAGAACAAATCCAAAGAAGTTGTTCTTCTGTTCTACTTTAGGCCACCATACATTAGGTCGCCTGCTTATCCCAGCCAGTCTGGGGCTGGCGGACGCCCCATGTTTTCTTCCCAGCACCCCAACTATGGCAACTCTCAGGCTCCCATGATGAACCAGCCTGACCAGTACGGGTAGGTAGCAACATGCCCTGACTTGCTGCGGGTCCTGGGCATTTTTTTAAACTGTTAATGAACATGCCATCTGGCTGCGAAAGGAACACCCAAAGTAGGAGAGTGAAAGACCTAAAAGGAAATCCATCTCAGAGGGGGCTGTCTTTTGTTTATTTTTGTTTGTTTTGGGTTTTTTGTTTGTTTTGTTCTGTTTCGTTTTTCATTCTCACCAGCAGTGCTGTGGTAGTTTGGTGGAGACCTGCATGCCGTCCCCCAGATCCTGTCTTTGCATGGCTTCGGCATGGCTTCTTTCCTTCGTGCCTGAGAGGGAAACAAAAACTTTTATCTACGTAAAAGTAATGAAGTCACCTACTCCGGCGTCATGTCCCCCACTGTTGTCGTTGTGTCGTCTAGGACTTGTGTAGCACTGTTATCATGACTGTGTTATTGTCATTCCTGCCACTACAGGGACCTGCTTCCACACTCGCCCTGAATTCAGAGTGCGGTGGCCCCATGGAGCCCCACTGCAGGAGGCAGGGCTTAGGTTCTTTTTTTTTTTTTTTTTTTT